TCAAAAGCCAAACCATTTTTCCCATTAGAAATAATATAAATTGAAGGGAATCTATTCCATACCCCCAAATGATTCCCTGTTAACCTTCCTTATATGCAGTACATGTCTAATGGACTGTTTAATCTATGAACAAACACTTCTTTTCTTAAATTGATGGAACCACCCCTACAGGCCTCTCAGGACTCATTTCCAGCACTCATTCCAGGGGTGTCTCTCAGGCCAGCATGCAGCATCTTTGCTTGTTCTCACATCACTGCCTCAGAAACACTGTCATCTGCTCACTGCTTCTCCTTTATCCAAGTCAACAACAGACTTTCTACCTCGTCCATTGCCTGTGACCATTGCTTCTTTCACACCCTTAGCAACATTAGCGTTCTTGATGGTCTCTATGTTTTTAAATTGTGCTAATCCTTGATTTCCCAGCAACAAAAGCATCTTCTCCTTTGTTGCCTGAGAGACACTTTTTGTCATGCTGAGGTATCAGGAAGAAAGCGTTGTCCGGTTGAAAACCGAAGTTTGGTTTGACAATCGAGACATCGACATTTTTTCTATGAATAATTTGGTCAAGAACTGAATTGTTCGAGATGGGAGACATTTGAGAAATGGGATTTGACCGTAATTAATCTACCACCACTATATTAGTAGACTTCCTCAAGGACAACCCTGATGAAAAATGGAAATGATTCAGACTTAGGAGATGCCCAAAAAACTCAAAAGATTGAACAGCCAAAGACATATAGTTGTCCAACAGACACACATGAAAAGTTGCCCCAAATCATTAGTCATTATGGAAATGCAAACCAAAACCTCATTGAAATACCATTTAAAAAAACTATTAACTTTTAAATGACTAAAATTTAAAAAGAAATTATGACAATTTTGGTAGGGAAACACAATGGCTCAGCCACTAGAGATTTCAGACAGTTGCTTTAAAAGTTAAACATACACTTACCTTATCACCCAGCAATTCCGCTCCCAGGTATTTGCCCACATGACATAAAAATTTGTTCATACAAAAGCCTGTTCATGTTCCTCTAATCCTCCTCCGCCAACCCTCTGCTTCTGATAACCATGCATCTGATCTCTTTTTTTAGATTTTAGTGGTCAAAGGGTTACAAACATCCAGTTATTATATAAAAGATAAATAAGTACAAGGGATGTAATGTACAGCAAGCATATCAAACTCAAAAGTTAAAGTGGGCCAAATAAACAAGGCATGTGGCCCATGGGATACGAGTTTGACATGCTTGATGTACAGCATGGTGACTATAGCTAAGTGCTGAATGATGAATAGGAAAGTTGTTAAGAAAGTAATCCTAACATTTCCCATCACAGGGAGGAATTTTTCCCCCTTTTCTCTTCTTTTTATTGTATCTACTAAAGGCCTGGTGCATAAAATTCGTGCAGGGTAGGGTCCCTAGGTCTGGCTGGTGATCAGGGCCAATTGGGGTCTTCCAGCTGCTTGGCTGGGGCTTTCCTTCATTCCGTGCCACCTCCTGGTGGTCAGTGCACATCATAGTGAGCGATCGAACTTCTGGTCTCTCGGTTGAACTCCTGAGGGGACACTTTACATATTAGCCTTTTATATATATAGGTATGAGAAGATGGATATTGGCTAAGCCTATTGTGGTAACCATTTCACCGTATACGTAAATCAAACCATCATGTGATATGCCCTAAACTTATACAATAATGGATGACAATTATTTCTCAGTAAAACAAAAATATATGAAGTTTAAGTATTAAAAATGCATACATGGATGTTTTTAGCAGTCTTATCCATAATTACCAAACACTGGGAAAGCCCAAATGTCTTTCAATAGGTAAACGGTTAACAACTGTAATACAGCCACACCATACCATATGTTCAACACAGAAGGAACGAAGAACCAACTGCAACACTGTGGATGGATCTCTAAAGCATTCTTCTATGTGAGAGGAGTCGGACACAAAAGACTACATATTGTCCGATTCCATTGATTTGACATTCTGGAAAAGGCAAGACCATAGTGACAGGAAGTAGATGAGGAGTGACCAGGGGCTGGGTATGGAGGACGATATGACCACCAAGGGGCATAAGTGGGCTTGGGTAGCTGATGGAACTGTTCTCTGTGTTATTATGGTGCTGATTGCATGACTGTATGCTAAACATTTAAAAAGATATATCATACCTCGGGGGGAATGCTTAACGTGAAGGAAAAGAAATCACACGGAAGGTTAAAAAGTGGTTTCACTCAGATTAAACTCATTAAGTATTTGAGAGCCGAGCCCAGTTTCCTAGGGAGCTGGGTGTGTGTCTGGCAGCTTGTGTTGAGAGATAATGGTCCATTGGCCTCTTACGGGCCCACATCCTTCCGAAGGTGACTTGAGCATTAGCAGAGCAGCCCTGCACCCGGGGGCCACGCCCATCAGCCACCAGGCTTCCAGCCTTGCCCAGATCTCATGGCTCTGTCCCTTCCTCGGTCCTCTTGGTGCTTGAAATTACTCCGGACACCTGTGCGGTCCTGGGAGGCTACTTGGAAGAACAAATACCAGGGCGTGCTGGTGGGGGGTCGGCGGGGCAGAGAGAGGGGAGGGGAGGGAAGGGGCCCGGCGCACTGCTTCCTCAGGTGAGTGTTTCTAAGGAGTGTGAAGCCTCGCTTTTATGATCCATCTGCAAGTCTGTTCTTTCTCCAAGGATTCCTTCCATTTGTGTGCTCCCGACATTTTCCTAGAATTCCACCTTAAAACGCGCTGGATGCACTAAGGCCAGCACCGCGCAGAGCTTTGCCGAGACGGTGACGGATTGCAGTTGGAGCCGGCCCCGCACATCTGGAAGCCACATGTCGACAGCAGCTGCATAAAACGGCCGGCCCAGCAGACCTGGGGTGACACTTCTTGCCAGGAGCCCAGACAGCATGAGCCTCACTCTTCTGTGGGTGTTTCTGCCCCTGGTCGCCGTGGCCCGGGGCCAGTATGGTGGCTACGGGTACCCGTACCAACAGTACCACGACTACAGCGACGACGGGTGGGTGAACCTGAACCGGCAGGGCTTCAGCTACCAGTGT